GAGGACGCAGGTGTAACGACGACGCTCTCGCTTTTGTGGGTGTCGAGTTTCAAAGCCCGACACGGAATCAAGTCTTACCGACTGCATGGCGAGGCGACCTCAGTCGAGCTAGAGACCCTTCACCAGCGGCGCCAGGAACTCCGGACCTTTCTCGACGGCTACGCGGCGTGCGATGTTTTCAATAGGGATGAAACCGGTCTATTTTATCGCATGACGCCTTCGCGGGCTCTGGCAACGATGCCTTTGAGTGGCAAGAAGAAAGATAATTCGCGCATTTCGATAGGGCTATGCTTCAATATGGATGGGACTGAGAAACTGGACCCTATCGTGATCAACAAATCTCTCAAACCCCGTTGCTTCAAAGCCATCGACGTTTCCAAGCTACCCGTCCACTTCCATGCAAATGCGAAGGCATGGATGACTGGCGGCATCTTTGCAAATCGGTTGAAAGCGTTCAATTTCAAAATGAGTGGGCGAAAAGGTCTTCTGTTGCTCGACAACGCGACCTCACATGTCAATTTGGAGCTCTCAAACGTTCACATTCACTTCCTGCCGCCAAATACCACCTCCCATTTGCAGCCGATGGACGCGGGCATCATTCGCAACTTCAAGCTCAAGTACAAGGCCTAATTTGTGCAGTGGCTATTGGATATGGTGACGGCAGGGACGGAGGACAGGAAGCTCGACGTTCTTAGCGCAATCCGTATGGTGGTAAAATAGTGGGCTGAGGTGCGCCCTGAAACGGTTCGACACTTTTGGATCCACACCGGAATCGTGTCGGGAGTTATGGCGGCAGTGGTCCGTAGGCAAGACAAGACTGTCCGTTCCAATAATCTCTCAATCCTGGCTAATGTAATCGACAAACTATCATCATCTGATGGAATGGATGCAGACGACTATCTGGAGTGTGACAACAACCTGGAAGAATGGGAACCAGAATCCGATGCAACTGCCACCTCTGAGCCATTTTCGCGTGATGACGACAGCGACGGAGACGAAAATCCCATCTTCACTCCTCGCGACGCGCTGAATGCTGCAATACAATTGTCTACGTACCTATTCGCACACAAGATCGATATTGCACACAAGATTGATATTGTGGGGATGCAACTGCTAACCGAGAAGTTCCGCCAACAGCTTCAACAAAGCATGCACCAGCAGCAAATCACCGATTGATTCTCGAAAGAGTAAGCTCGGTGGCCCATACTGAAACTAACAGCACTTACTTAATAGCACGCAAAAATGGAACTGATATTTAATATGTTAAATTACTTAGATTTCTACATTTTTCTTTATATCGTACTTTCCTAGAAACTTATTCCAATTATCCAATTCCTATAGAATATTCCTAAAGATTTTATACAATCATATTCCAACACAAACGAAGTGGTGTCCTATGAGTCGATTTCGATCTTAAGGACGCAGCGACATTTTATGGACAAATCGCGCTCTCTAAGTGTGAGTTATCTGTATATCCTCGCTGGGTATATATGGAATTATTATTGGAGGTAGGTCAAGTAATTCTAATAATTCTTTTTTATTTTATTTATATCGGAATTGAATAATAATGGACTCGAACCGCTGAGCGGCTACGCGGCTTTTCCGATTATTTCGAGCGCTTACCAAGACGCCATTAGTGTCGATGTTCTAGAGCTGCTTATAGAGAGCTCAAGAGCGATACACTGCTCGAACTAGGTACAACCTTTTACTGCTTTAGTTTCACGCTGGAAGGTTCCACGAGCTGCTGAGAAAACAAACAACAATATGACGGCTTATGAAGATAAGACATTCTCCCTTGTTTACGTTGCGATCGGAATGAGCAGCGAGATCACACAGAAGTTGCCAAAGAAGTTGCTTCGCTGCAAGCTGCTTCTACTCAGATTAATTGAAGCCAGCTCCTGGTGTTGTTGTATCGAATTTTGTCGGAATGGATAACTACAGCAACTTACCAGGATGTAGAAGAAGGAGAGGTCCGCACCGAGAAATAATACTTCTATTTGTCTCTCCGTTTTTCGTGTGCAGCTATCGTGCGTCATGATCAAGATGCGCAAATATTGCTTGCAGGCGAAGGATTTTGCTTTGCTAGCAATTCTGTAGCTCACGCAATACATAACATCTAATCAGACTTCCTACAGTACAGCTTTATTGCGTAAAATCTATTTCAATGAGCAAAAGGTCGAAATTGCCGCATTAACAGTCATTCGAAAAGCTTTGCATGTGGAAATGGAACGAGAGTCACGTGCTCACACTTTTTGTCAAGACCCGATGATGCACCGTTTTCATCACCGCGCAGTGTGCTAGCGCAGGCGAGCCGTAAATTTATAGCGCTAGCAAGCGAAAACTCTGTAGCGCTGATCACGATAGTTCGATTCACCACGACAAGCTCAAAGCGCCGAATCCAGATCCGGCCGACGACATCCAGCAGATGATTACGCTGATTCGCCGATGATCGAGACCATTCACGAAGAGGACTACGGTCCCAAACATTCGGCTGATTTCCTGTCTAGCAACATGCGCACTTTGATCCCGGATAAGTTCGGAAGAGGATTCCTGTAACCCTCGAGGAGAGCTTCTGACCAGCCAGCTGTCGAGGCGTTGATCGCTTGTTGCGCGAATGGCGACGAGAACCGATGTCGATCTACGATAATCGAGTTCTGGACTCTCGTCATGCATCAAAAAAACAGATGACGATGACTTTTACGAAAACAGTAGAGACCTCGAATGTTCGGACCTTATGTTGCGACGTGTGCTATGGATACATCAAAGGTCCGCTCTGTGCACTATACCGGAGCGACGCCGGGACAGTGGGTGTTTCCGCACCCACAGGGCGACAAAAAAGATCTCGCTGTCGCTCAGCGCTCGATTGGGTCAGATAAACGTCGATACTAGGACTGCAACATGGTCGGGATTGAGGCAGCTCAATCGCCGATCTCTTTGGCACGTGATACGACGTTTTGCCAGTGTCAGATCAGCTCCGTACGGACTGCGTAGATGACGCTGAAGAAGAGTCCTGGACCTGCTAAAGGGTAACAATGCTGGTGGAGTTGACGAAATTGACCGTCTGAACATGTCTGACGGCACTGACGGCATTGCTCAGGAGAGCATGTATGAAGAGGTAAAAGGGCTGAATAGCATCTTTGACCAAGACAAGCTGAGTTTTGGCATAGCATTGTGGTACTCTACCGTAGCGCACGGTACCGTACTGCACAGTTGACGTATGTCTGAAAATGCGGAGCAAAAGTGGCAACTGGCTTGTGAATGACATGACGGCTGTTGAAAACTCACGACGCGATCGGGGTGACGAGATTCCATCGAGATATGACACTATCCCGTCATATCGTGATCTTCGGCATCACGCCCTGATATTCTTTCATATGCGAGGTATCCAATGTCAACGTGATATCATCCTTTACCATTCGTGACAATATCCCGTAAACGTTATGAAAAATCATGCGACTCTTCTGCCGCTAGACACTCCAATTTATGTCGTCTCGGATCGCCGCAGTTCAGCGTCATATCTCAATGAGTCGTTACGAGTCGCCCGTGACATCGCATGTCCTCGATACGTCGCTCGGTATTCCAGCTGCCAATGTGCGCGTGGAGCTGCAACGTCTCCGTGACAACGTTTGGGTCCATGTCCACGAGGGGCGAACCAACGCCGACGGACGCGTTGCGAGTTATCTGGTCCCGGAAGCTGCGGTCTTTGAGGCAGGTACCTATCGCATAGTGTTTGACACTGGTCGCTACTTTGAGGCCAATGGCGTCACAGAGTTCCTCTACCCCGAAGTGACCGTCACGTTCAAAGTGGAAGACCCGACTCGACACTATCACATTCCGTTGCTACTCAATCCCTTTGGGTACTCGACGTATCGAGGGAGTTGACGAACAAAGTGGACAGCTCAATTAGTCAGACCGCGTTTGTTGGTATGAAAGATTGAAGCTCCCAAAACGTGTTTGTTGCGTTGCACCCGTTTTAGTTGTTTCCCTCGTTATTCGTAACGTACAGAGGACACGCGCCATGTCGATTCTGCGCAGATCACTCACTGCGTAGCGTACAGTCATACAAACTGTGTCAGCGAGAAAGGCTCAGACTGTCGATTCACATTTGTTCAGCTAAGAAGATCAAAGTCCTGAATCAGGATGTAAGCACCAGGGACGCAAGCAAACAACGTATTGTGGCTGATCCCAATGTGAATGGTGGCCCTCGAGAATCGCGCATGAGCAACTCCTATCTGCTTACAGCGCAACACCACAGAGTACTACCGTATATTCCATGCTATCGCTCGGATTCAGCAAAGAGCATGAAGCCCGACAAGTTGTTGTGCTGCTCTAGATAGTATCCGTGGCTACTCGGTGGATAGTTGCATTTGTGTCAACCCATATGGTCGCTTGACATATCGTTGCAAGATTGTGCCAAGTTTTCCCCCATACGCGTTGCACTGCTCCAACCTCATGTCATAAACGACTGCTAAAGATTTGTCCCGTACGAGGGGATACTGCGTTGCCATTCAGGTTGTGCAAGTTATCTGGATAAGTGCTTCCACCAGCAAAGTGTCGCCGTGCTTTCTTACCATCTGCAGCCAATGTCGACTTCCAAGAGATCTTTTATAGCAAAAGGGCGTCTCCTTTCATCGTCCAAGTATGTGGTGTAGTAGCTTGGCACCGACTTCTATCGGCCCGATTGTTGTAATCGACAAGTGGCGCTACGCAAGAGTGGCTGTACTCCAATGGCAGTTTTTTTGCACAGCAAATGCAAAGATATGGTTTTGAAATGCACCTTGGATCGTTCAGGTTGCTCATAGAGCAGAAAACAGCGACCACGTGAATAACTCTGCCGTGAAACAGCCGCTCGGAAGGTAGCACGAATGACAAACACGCTGCCGCGCGCTGTACCTTGCACTGTTTAGGTAGCTCGTAAATATTATTATAACTTCACCAGAGTACAGTCAACGTCAAGCATTTTCAGACATCTCCCTCCTTCCTACCTGCGTTCTCGCAACCTACCGGTCATACCCCATATCACGTTGATACAAAGCTCTGTCCCGCGCGGTCGGTCGATCAGCCAACCAGTTGCCGCTACTCGTTCGTCTAGCAAACTTCTTCTTCTTGCTGATATCGGCCGTCTCAAAGATAGCCTCTAAGTTGCACGTGTCGACGAAGTCCTGGAAAATCGCAGGTGAAGGATCGGTGGCGTTCTTGCCAAACTGTGCGTGAAGAACTTTGTTAAGATGGCTTTTTTGCGCCCATCTCGGCACCTTCTTCTTTCCGTGATGATCTGCATCCGAGTCGCTGCTTTCACCGTCTGAGGACTCCATATTGTCCGACATCTCGTAATTCATGACATCGGGCGAATGACTCTTTGGAGCATACTTTACGGGATCGGGAGATGTCAACGTAAGCTTAACAACAGGCTTTTGCGCGGGCTTTGCCGCGGGTCTTGACGCTTGCGGCGGCTTCGGGACAATCGAGTTAGAATCGAGTTTTGGTAGTGGCACCGGTACCGGCTTAGGCTGAGAAGTCTCAGAGGCACTTGCAAAGCCGCCATGCCGTTGGTGCGATGTCCCTACAGTTGAAGTCGCGGGTCTGGACACCGACGATGTACTAGATACATGAATTGCCTTCCTCTCAGCGGCAAGCATCGCCCGCTTCTTCTCGAGACCTGCACGCATCTCTTTCAGCTTTTGCTGACGCTGCTTCGCGAGCTCGGCCTCACGTTTCTTCCGCACATTCAGCCGATCTTGCTCTCGTTTTGCCTGAGCTTCTTTCTCAGCTTTTTCTTTTAGCGCCGCGACTTTCTTGTGCTCTTCCATCTTCTTTTTGAGCATCGCCTTCCGCTTCTCCTTCTCAAGCCTTTTCTTTTCCTCCAACACACGTGACTTCTCCGCAAGCTTTAGCGCATTCAACATAGGTACGCTGCGACCACCAGTTTTTTCTTGTGGTTGATTCTTCTCCAACAATGCGGTGAAGGAATGCAGCCCACTAACGAGATTCGGGATAGGACGTCGAATATCATTAGTTACCGTCAATACCGCAGGTTTCAAATCCGTCTCCCTGACCGATGGCTTTGGAATCGGTGACACCATCGATGATAGCGACTCCGGCCTGCGAGCCAGCAAAGGTGCAACAGTTTGCACTTTCGGCGACTCGGACTTGATTGCGTCCTTACGTGATGTCGTTGATGCCAGAAAAGACGGTCGATCCAGCTCCTTCGATTCATCATCCAGACGAGGAAACCGGGCTTCGGCCATTTCTTGTTGTACTCTCTTATCAGCTAGCAGCGTCTCTGCTGCTATCGCACTGACTTCCAGTCGATGACTAAGCGATTGCTTACCCTCATTCTTGTTTTGCGCAACATTGCACGAAGCTTCGGGACCTTCAGGCTCATGCACCAAGCTTTCCAAGCCTGATGACACGATCGGAATGCTATTCTCTTCGTGTTGGCGAGCCAACGATCGCGCGGACTCGACCATTTTAGCATCCTTATTACCCAGCCGGACCGTGTCTAAGCTTTGGGCTTCGTCTTTGGAAGCTGAAGCAGTCAACGTTTCCACGTCTGGTGCTAGAGAAAGGCTTCCAGTAACAGTCGATGGCTCGGAAATCAGCGGTGATATCGGATCAAAAGCAGCCTTGTCAGCTAACGGTGTACGAGCGCTTCTTCTTTGTTCGCCAGCAGCTGAAGCCTGCAGCCTTGATTTCAGCTGGTCCCCTTTTGCCCACAGCACCTGGCTTGCTCTAGCCTCTTCGAGTCGCTTCTGAGCGGACAGCTTTGCAGCAAGTCGGAACTTCTGAGCTTCACGCTGAACCGTCTCGTCAAACTCTCGCTTCTTGCGCTGCCTTTCGGTCTCCTCTTCGGAAAGCGCTTGAACGATAGGATCCCGCGGTGAAGCCATAGGTGAGGAAGGCGCCACGTGGGGTCTATCAGGTTTTGGCGTCATCATAGTGTCTGGACATGAGTCAATTCCTGCACGCTTGCTTTCTTGATGTGACACGTGAGGTTCAGTCAGCGAGTGATCGTTTTCTGGACTGGGATCAGGCTGGGCCAAATCGGTCTGAAGGTCATCAACAAACACATCCACCTTGTGGGCTGGAGCAAAGCTGACATTGCGAGCCGGACCCTGTGCACAAGGCGCCAACGATGAAGCTTTCCGCAAAATCGATTTGCGTTTCCACACAAGTGGACTCGTGAGCTCACTCTTTCCACCAACCTGCATCGATTGTCGCGTTATCTTCGATGCGTCGTTGACTAGTATCTTCTCCGCGTCATCAGCGACAGCGAGCTCACGACTATTGCCAGAGGTAGGCGAACGTGGAACAGCACTGTCAGAGATGACCGTAGGCGAGACTAACACTGTGGACCTCGACAGAACGCTGCTGTTCTTCCGCGGTATCAGTCGATAGGTCTGCTTCACTTGACATTATCACGTCTTCTGTCTGCTCAGCAGACCCTGCGTTTGACTCAAATTCATCATATAATCCACTCGTTGGCAGCGGGGACGTGGTTCGTCTATCGTCCGCAACAGCTGAAGATTCTCCCATAGTTTTCGCCTTCTCAGCTCCAGCTTTTGGAGACGTCGACTGACTTCCCACGACACTCCTTTGCGACTTATTGGACCCGACACTCTCGCGCACTATCTCCTCTCCATCGCTATCGTCGTCAATCACAATCGTCACGGCACCTTGCGCCTCGTGCGTTCCCATTTCTTTTACCGAGTTCAAACGGTCACGGTCCTCTTTCTGCTCCTTCTCTAGCGCGTTCAACAGTCGGTCAAACAATGCGGCTTTCAGCCCACTAGTCCTCAGTCCTCTCTCTCGTAGCTCGGACCGCAGCTCCGTGACCTTGAGCTTTCCCGGGTTTTGCAGCAGCATCGCAGACGAGCGCCCGCGTTTCCTCGTTTGCTTCGCAGCAGCACCCACAGCGGCGTCTGTGCTCGTCGGTCTGGCTCGTAGCCGCATCGATAGCCTCGTTGTTGCTTCTTGTTGACACGACGTACCACCACCACCAGCAGCACCAGCAGTAGCACTAGGTACCGTAACTTCTGTCACTGTCACTGTCTCTGCCTTCTGTTTCTTCCATTCTGGTCCAGCAACGCCCCAACTGTCGTCACGACCTCTGCACACAACGACACCAATCACCACACAGCAGCGCACAGACGTGTCATATTATGTGTCCATTTCTACATTGTGTAGTTGGTCAAAAATAAAAAAAAGACGGTCGTGTACCCATGTGGGGGCCCCGCCGGTCCTCGTCGCGAAGGCTCGAGACGCGCCTGGACGTCCAGCGAGCGAGAGAGCTGCGCCAGCTCCTCCCGAAGCCATGTCACGTTGCGCACGTGGCTCTCCTCCAGCGCCGACCAGTTCTCGCGCGCCAACAGCTGCAAGCGGCTGTGGACACGCAGCACAGCGTCGCCCATGGCCGTCTTTTTTCGCAAATAGCAGTTTAGCGTTTGTCAAAATGGCACAATGCGGCTTATGTTGCGCCAATGAACGGCGCCGGCAAAGGGCAGCACACAGCGAGGTCAGAAATACAATGGCCCCAACGGCGGTCGTCCAAAAACACTTGTCAAAAATGAATTTCACATCGAGCGCCTGGCGAAGCCCGCTATCCGTCAAAAACGCTGCGTCTGCTCACTCGCCATCCTCCTTCACGCGCTGTCTGCCATCGTGTGTCTCCTGCTACTGTCTAAACACTAATAGTAGCGTCGATACCGACATCTCGAGTAGGTAGGTCCTCTGCGTCCACAATCGCTGTCTTGTCGACTCGAACGTCGCCGTCATTGCGTCACGGACGGACCAGGCACCTTTCTCGTCCCGTGACGCTATAGAATAGAGCACGCGCTTTTCTTGGGCTTGGGCACTTTCCTTCGACGCACCTCGCGCACAAACGTCTCGAACACAGCCGTCACGTTCACTCCTGTCAACGCACTCGTCTCGATGTAGCGCGCGTTGTACGAGTATGCTATCCGTCGGCCTTCCTCCGTGCTCACTTGGCACTTGCACGGGTCGCGGTCCACCACGTCCTTCTTATTGGCCACGAGTATAATAGGCGGCAGTGGACGGCGACTTTCGTTGATCTGAAGATGCAGGTCGAAGAACGGTTGCAGCTCCTGTACATGCACCATGCACACGTCAGCTTTTTGCCCAGGCATCAACACCGAAAGACCATCCAGTCGTGCTACTTGCATGGAGGGAAATCCGAGAGTCCATACTATACACAAACACGTATCCATCCTTGTCCATCATCCACTGCCCCCGCAGTGACTCGAAATCCTGCCAACAAGAGCTAAGTGAGCCCCAACGACAAAAGTCGTCATCGCATTTGCACGCAGGTGCACTCACATCCTGCCCTGCAGTGTCCAGAATCTCCAGCATGCACAGTCCTTCGTCCACCGAGATGGATTTCCGGTACGCGTCTTCAATCGTCGGGTCCCAATCTTTCACAAAATAGTCTCGCACAAAGCGCAGCGTGAGTGCACTCTTGCCCACGCCACCCGACCCCAGCACGGACATGTGGAACGTCTCCTGTCCGTTCGCAGGTCCTACACCGACACACAACAAGGCACACGTCCCTCAGCTCCACGCTCCACGCTCACCGCTACAGACACACACGGCATGGCGTGCACCACAATGCAGCACACTATCGTACCAAGAGCCTTGTAAAACGCTTCGCCCTGGGAGACGTAGAGCGTATCGTTGTTCTGCAGCTCGTCCACGTCCGAGATCTCGGCACCGCTGGCCAGGAACAGACGCTTCGCACGCACGCGCAGCTTCTTGCTCGCCACTTTCTTCAGTCGTGCTACGCTGTCCTTGGACTTGAGGTTCATCACCTGCACACACACATACACACACATACACAACACGACCGTCCCAAAACAACAGTCAGAACAACCATTACAACGATAACAACCACAGTACTACCGACAGTAATAGCACAATAACAAAGGCGTGAAAAGTCGACCGCGTGCTCGTTGCGTCGCGACTCGCGAGCCGTACCTTGCCCTCGGAGCCCGCCTCATTGCAGTAGATGAACAGCCGCATGTCACTCATGACGCCTCGTGCTCCGACGGACGTCCGCTGGTCCTGTCGCAGCGCACAGCTCTGTCTGGGACAGCTCTGTCAACGGTTTGGGATCTCGGCTTCCTCGAAGACGACGCAACCTAACAACCGAATGCGACATGTCCCTCTGTGGGGTTATAGAGCGGCTATATTTGCAATCACATTTGTCAAACTACTTGGACGTTGTAGCACGGGCAGCAGATGGTATGTTTGTGCGATGCGTTTATTGCATAAATAGCCTGATACTCACCAGCAGCTACTGGACGGGCCAAAAGCTTGGGCTTATTTGTGGCAGCGCCACAATCGAAGCGGTCGCAACCGTGATAATTCACTTTTCCACACACGAAATACAAAAGCGGAAAAAAGCATTCAACGTCGCCTGTCCTGCGCGAAAGTCACTCTGTTTCGTGCTTGGTCAGGGCAATGTGGCCGTGACGACTGTGTTTCAATTGCAGACATACCGGTTGCGTTACAAGTTACTCTTCGTAAGAGAAAGGTATCGTGAGTGACGCAACGCCTTCCCTTTCCGTAGCATAGCAGTCTCTTTTGTCGAGCAGCGTACGAGCAAATCGGCAGAGTCAACCGCAGGGCAGAGAGCGCTGCAGGCGTCTGCAGTAACTTGCCCCATCCTTCGAGTCAGTCAGTAAGACGATCGAGTTGTAATAGTTCTGCTACAAAAATGTAGTCCGTGTACAAAATAGAGAGCCGTCATGTGAGTTATGCCGTCGCGATATAGTCTAAAATACGCCATGACATTGGTCACAAACTGACAATGCGCAGTAAGTTGTGCTATCGAACGTGCTATTGCTGCTGAATAAGAACATAAATGCATGTCAGCGGCTTTCCTGTCAAGTCACGAACCTATCAGACCTTATACATGTGCTGCACTAATTGTATTACTCGTTCGACTGACATGTACGACGGACGTGTACGACGAACCCTTGTCGTCCACTCGCACTCTCAACCCTACAACCAAAGACCCCTTTGTCAAAGACTTGCTACCGCTTTGTACACGACTTTAGACAGTACGTGTCGCATCACCTGAGCGCTCACTGCGTAAAGCGCGACGCCCTTTCCGTCGGTGGTCGAGCACCAACAGGAAACACAATCACACACACTCTCCATCGCGCTGCACAGATCCAGTGGCCACATCGCATCCTGTGTCTGCCCCCTGTCCCAGACAGACGCTCTTTTTTGCTCCACTCCCACCACATCGACACTTTGTGTTCTTTCTCGTCCGACGCGACCGATCCCTTTGTAGTACTTCCACGACTACTACCAGTGCAACTACTACCAGTGCAACTACTACAAAGTGCAACTACTACAAAGTGCGATTCAGCAACCACTCGGTGGATAAAGTACTACTATTCCTCTCTCTCTCTCTCTCTCTTTTGCTGCAGAGATGACGTCTCACGTAGCGGCCGCCCACTTGTCGCCCACGGCCCCACGTCGACGCCACAAGGAACAGCCATCAGAAGCGACCGCTCCCGCCGTATGGACTGTGTCGGACTGGGCCACCCACCCCGTGATCGAGAGCTTCTACGGCCACGCGCGCCACGCACGCGCCAGTTCGTTCTACGACGTAATGTGTTCGCCACTGAACGCGACTGCCACAACGACACTGGGCGAGAGCTGCTACGGGTACGCAAACGTGACGGACAACAACGAGAAGGACAGCGAGGACAGCTGTCGGCTCAGTGGAGTCGCTGCAACGAGTCCCCACGCGCGTCGCCTGTTGTGTGGCTCGTTCGCCTACTCCTGTACGACGGACACGAGTGAGGAAGCGGCTCTGAGCATCGGTCCCGAGAGTCCTGCGGACGACCGTATAGCGGCGCTACACAAGAGCTACAGCAGCAGCAGTTGCGCTATGCGCAGCGGCTCTGGCTTTGCCCAGTGGAACAAAATGAGACGGACCATGAGTCTTAACGGTAGTCCGTCCCTCGTGCCTGTCCCGCCCGACCACCACTTTACCGCCAGGAGACCAGGATCTACTTTGATGCTGGAGGATCTGCACGACAGCGACGAGTGTCGTGTGAGTGCGGCTTCGTCACTGGATTGTGGGGGCCTCGTGGGCCTCTCGTCGCCTCCAACTTCGAGCAGGCTACGGGCGAAACTGCAGGCAAGTCTGCGGGACTTGAACCACCATATTGCACTGGAACACAAACGCTTGCATCAGGCGCAGCGGGCTGGCAAAAAGTCAAGAGCGAAACGACCGGTAGCTCCTGTTTCGAGCGTCGTGTGGGGTCTTTTGTGCGGCACACGAAGGACGGAGACGTCACATGCCGATGGCTTGGCACCCTTGACCGAGAAGCTGGGGGTGGCTGTCTCTCACCGTGCGCTCAATCAGTTACAACGACATCGGCGTCATGTGCGAGGAATCTTGAAAATCGTGATGGCACACCACCCAGACCTGGAGCTCACCGAGCGTCAGCTGGACTCATTTGAAGTGGCAGACGTCATGCTGGCTGCCGACATCAAGTACATCGTGCTGCACCAGCAGTATACGCTTTTGGTTGCCAGTGCTGCACAAAGGCGACGTGCTCTAGCGGAGGCAAAGCTCTGCAACGGTATCGACTGCTTTGAAAAGCCTCAAGCAAAAAGATTGATGCTGTCGAAATTGCTTGAGGCCGTGAGCTGGTATCGATTGATGCAGCGGAATGCCAGGGAAAAATCAGCGTTGAGTTCTGTGGGTACGGTATCTGCTTCAGAGTCGGCCAGTTCAGCGGCGTTGGATGGTGCTGGTCCACAGGAGCGGCAAGTGGAGAAGATGCTGAGCGTTTTGTCCGACGAAGACTTTTATTCTGACTTCAGCAAACTGATGTGCCAGCCAGACTGGTGGGAGGTCGCACAGGCTCATTTTGAGAATCTCATTTTCTCATCGAGACAGTCTCGTATCTGCCTGTGGGTTCTGCAGCTCTCACAAGATGTTGCTGCTGTGAGTTTCGAAGAGCTAGAGGAGAACGAGAGTGGTGGACTGCGATCTCACACGAGTCTTTTGGCAGAGAGGGGTGCGCATCGTAGGCCGCAGCATGCTTCATGGACGAATGACACACCGCCCGAACGGATTATCGACTTTGTGAACCGACTGACTGGCCGTGTTCGACGTGAGTTCGATGTACCATTGGATGTCAGCAAGAGCCTTAGTGTCTTTATTCAGCGCACGGTATTCCTGCGTTGTGCTGTACTCTGTTATGATCAGAAGGCGACCCGTGAATGCCAGCAAAAAGACAAGCTATGGCGGAAAAGATGCGCCGAGCTGAGTGGTTTACCGATGGAGAATTTGGGTGTGTCGCCCGACCTGGTTGCTAAGATTTGCTGTAACTTGCCCAGCCGTCACATCGATCGATCAAGTCACGGGCACGATCCCAGTCAAGAGCGCGTATTCTTCGTTCGCGCGATCGAAGCTTTCAACGGCATGATGAGTGTGGTGCCCTGCGATCTGCTCGACGAGCTCATGCACGGTGTTGTGATCTTACACCACGAAGCGGCTCTCGTGCTAGGCACAACGCAGTTTTCGGTGGAGACCTTCTTTCCATTGTTGGCGTACGTGCTGATACACTGTCGACTGCTGACGATCCACGCACAGCTACATGTTCTGGAGAATTTTGCCATTACCGCTGACAATGCGAACGGCGAGGAGTCTTACTACGTCTACTGCGTGCATGCTGCGGTCGAGTACATATGCAACACGACTGGGTTGGGAGTTAATGCGACTTCTGCCGGTGCACGTGGGTTGAGCACAACCTCCAGTACATTGTTGACACCAGGCATGACGGAGATGAAACCGGCCCTACTCATGCACAACTCGTCGCCACGCAGGAGTTATGGTGCTTTCTCATCGGATCTCGAGGTAGAAGGGAAAGCCTCGCGTCCACCGCCAAGTGCAAAGTGATCAACTAGCCAGCCAGCCAGCCGGAAGAAGTAGTCTGAGTATCCGTGTTTGTTTTCGGAGCACGCAGCAAAGAACGAGTTGCTCGTGTCGAATGCGCCAATGTCCCGTTATTTATGTGGCGCGCAGCAAGCGAGATGCAAGAAGGTACTTGCCGCCGATTTCACAGGTGTGCCATTTCTGAATCTAAATAAACGTGTCGAGGACGCTCTCGACTGCAGTGAGTTGTCCACCTTCGCTATGCACGTCATTCAGTCAGGCCTAGTGCGGCTTGGGGACATGGCCATCGACGTAGAAGTTGCGAGTGGCGCGGGGCAGCGTCACCGTTGTCCCGTCGAATTCCTCGTCCACCAGCACCTGGCAGCCTAACCGGGAGGTGTCCGTGAGTCCGAAAGCCATGTCCAGCATATCCTCCTCGTCCTCGCAGGCCTCGTCCAGTCGTTCGTACACAGGTTCCTCCAGGATCACGTGGCACGTGGAACACGCCATAGACGCCTCGCACGCGCCCTCGAGGTCAATATCGTTCGCGTGGGCCACTTCCAGCAACGACATGCCCGCCTTTGCCTCCACGTCTCGAAGAGAGCCGTCTCGCTGCTTGAACTTGATGTGGACGCTACCATAACACAGTCGTCACAGTTCAGTAAGTAGGCTATCAATGGGTACGTTGGAAGGCATAATTGATCTGTTGCGCTCGGCGTACGTCGGGTGCGACGAGAACTTCGTCACGTCCACGTGGAGCGACGACGCCGATGCGTGGAAAGCGCGCAGTGCTGCACGGGTCGGTACGGCACGCGCGGAGAGGAGACGCTGGCGCAGCACACGGAGCATCGACAGCTTTTCGAACAGGTACGTTAATGTTCGGCCGTGTCGTTGGTGGCGGTGCACTTTCAGCCAATGGTTTCGTGCTCGGGGGTGGGGAGCGACACTGGGTGTGAGTCCACACCATATGTGTCATCAAAGACAGATCGACCACCTGCACTGAGTTCGAGTTTGTATGTGGTGTCTTCATCTGCGCGGCGAAGGCCGTACATGGCGTCGATGGCATTAAAACACACTTGCGCCTTGACATGTACCTCTCGATTCTTTGACTGCAGTTTTGTTGGTGGTGTAGGGGTTAGCACAACGGAAGATGGTGGACTGGATATGAGGGGTCCACCGAATTGTCAAGACCCGAAGCTAAGCTGTGGCTGTTTGGTAGGCGGGAAAGGTGCAGCATGATGCAACATGAATAACGATACGCTCTTTTCGTTTCCGCTCATCACGAACTCGCGCTGATGGTTTTCGCCTTCATTGCTTCCACGACATCACTGTCTCAGTCGTCGACCCTTCGATGCCACCACCAAAATTGGGGGGAAGTGTCGCCGTTCCCTTGCAAACATCGATATAAAGCCGCTGCAACGGAACGACATGGGAGTCACATCCTTTTCTACCGGCTGGTCTACCTCACGTGACATTGCTACGCTATACGAAACTAAATAGATTCTTGGCAGACTCTACGGCATTTGCATTTGTTGCACCATAACTACATCCATGTGCATACCCTCGTCAGGCTCATTTTTTCGTGTTTGTGTCGCTGCAAGCTCAACTTTTAGTTTGCACAATGGCACTCAGTGCTAAATTGTCTATACCGGATGGACTCGCACATGTGCAAACACCGTCTTAGCAACCTCCATCATGCAAAAAGATAGTGCATTAGAGCTCGGAAGATAGTTCGAAAATGCGTCGGCGAGAGCAGAATGTCTGAATAAACGACATGGCCACGGTATCTTAATACGAGACCGACGGACTGATTAAATGACTACATGGCTTATTCACGCTTTCTAGCTTCGTGTTCCCATCGCCCACATTTGACTCAGGTGACGATGCATCGACAGGAAAGGTCATCTTCTTCATACAAACTAGTGATTTCGGGGAAAGACGATGTGCTGCGTTTTGACATCCGTGTTTGGCATTCGTACATGTGGTACCTTAGGTAAGTGAGTGAGAAGATGACGTGTATTCAGGTACGCGAGCGACCTGTTGCACGGCATGTATAGCTAGCTCCAATCAGTCTCAGTTGGTCAGAGATGAGACGACGGCTCCAGGTATCTAGCAGTCTATCTGCTCTGGCTGTACAATTAGGTGTGGCACAACTTCATCATTGATGTTCAGGGCTCTATGATGAAGGAGAGAGTTTGGTATTCTACTATCATGTATTAGATCAGCTAAAATGACAACGCTGTGCGCAAATGGCGAAGACTATAATCCTCTAAAAGATTAATTATGATTTACACAACTTTAAGGATAATTGGCTGGGCCCAAATAGCTGTTGAAACTGCATACATATGTCTTAGCAAGCAGAGCCGACCTCCGAGTGGTTGGTGTTGTTCGATTATATATTGTAAATTAAAGACCAATGCTCGCACCATGTAAAGCTGATGACACGTAGTTACCTTGTCTACGGGGATATGTGAACATTACGAGGCCATCATAATTTAACGTTTTTGGCTAGCAGACGGAGTGTGTCGGGAATGTAACATAATGAGGTGTCAGCCAGTTGCGTAACATGCCAAAGGTGGGCTTAGTGGGCAGAATTCCCTACTCTGTGCGAACAGCATCCTACACAAAGCAGATATTACAGATTGAATTTCTTCACATCTTGCAGACGGCAATATCTTGATCATGAACAACTGCACAACAACAACAACAACAACAACAACAACAACAACATTAGCAATAACACTTCTATCATAAGCAGCTCCAATTGTGACAACCGTTACGATCCGTCAGCTTTAATGCTCTGTCATTGTGCGATTCACTTTCTCGTCCGCAAAATAGTACATGACCACCCGCAACAGCACCAAAATGATCCTGCCAGCGCTACAGCATTATGTCTGCTCTCGCTCCCTGTGTTTACCCGCCTAATACTGCATTGACGCGATCATCAACAGTCTACATTGTACATCGTCATCTCGGCACAGCGCTGTCTCTTCCATCTGCTACAACTACGCCGCCTAAGCGCAACATTCAAATACTAAGTAAATTTAATCGGGCACCTCGGATTGAAGTGATCAAATAAACGTGGCTTGCAATCAGACGATAGACGACAACGTTAAGCTGCGTTTAAAGATTTTGATATGCCGTTTCCCTCCACAAAAGGAATGTTGACGGAAGAAGACGCAAACGTATCTGTTTAGGCAAGTACAAGGGGGGATTGAGGAAAGTATATGTTGATGTAATCAAATCATTTTAGGCACGTCATTATTCGTCCTACGATATCAATACTTGGTGTATTCTATAAGCATCAGTGATGATTCAGAGATGCTGGTGTTTCCGTAAATGAGCTCACCTTGTAAGCAATCGGATCAAGGAGAACTCTCGGTAAAATGATACAGGTATCATTTTGAGTGCATGTGTGAATACTCTGCGCAGTATATTTTGATCGAGACGATCGTAATCGGGCAACGTTTCGATAATATTGCCGCTGACGGCCATATTCGGCAGCAGGTGACAACACTGCTTAGTGACTGGTGCATGCCATGGCATTAGCTAACGAAACCACCGTCAATGCTGGACGCGCACCATGAGATGTGAGTCAAAAGTTCGCATGCGTTGCTTGTGCTTCAATTTTGATAAAATACGATATCAAAGTAGATCGCGTTGTGATCCTGTCAAGTTCAGCTGACTGCACTTCCTTTATACATGACCGTGTACCTAAACATTTGAGGCACTTGACATGCGCTGCCAACAGTGTATTTTGCTTGTACTGTAATCGCTAGATGCGTAAAGTGCCCTGTGATAACAAAATTTGTTTGCCCATGTGTGCGTTCTATTAGGCAATATGTGCTTCAAATTCGCAAGCAATCTGTTAGTTGCTCGTTAACACAAGAGACCCTTTTAGTCGGCACTTTATAGTTCTCATATCTAAAAGCCTGTCTGCTCTGTGTCATCATCGATAGTTATAATGCTGTAGTAGCTTATAGATGCCTGGTACAGACAAGCGGATGAGCGGGTGCCAGCTAATGAAGTCATCGCAACGCATTGGTATATTCACGCACCGTCACGCATCACAATCGAGCAAGCATTCCAGTCAACCACGATAGGAATGATTAATGGTGGCTTGTGACAAGCCCTCATAGTAATAGAATCCACAGATGGTACATCGAGAATGATCAGAAATCGTCAGAATGAGTGCAGTGTATTCCTATCATTTTCGAGCGGCGTATTGACTACGTCCAGCTTTTTCGCTTCCGCGTCAGTCGGGTAGCCATCGGTTACAACCGCTAGTGCCACTGAATCAAAATACTGTACATTAATTTCGAAGCGATGAACGAATAAGGCGCGTTATATTCGATGAGCTGAACGGGCCGTTTCGAGAAGACCATAAGTGCAGAATCTATGAGTACATTGTCAGCTTTTTTCTTCTACGTTGCGGCTGTATCGAACTGATTTTACATAATTGTAGCTATAAAGAACTTCTTTATTCGTATAATCGTAGTCTCACCTCCCTACCACCTGTGCTTACCGTTTTTCAGTGGCATAGGCAGTAAGACTTCCTTCATGCCATTATTCAAGAGCACATATCACATCCGTTTGTGAAAAAGCGGGCTGATACAAGAGTAGTCATGACATCAGATGATATAGTCTTTTTACAAGCAGTCAATAGTGCTTTAACAATTGCAAAGAGAAAGGAATTCTTCCAGATACCGAATATATGTACTAGCCTGTACGATTTTTTTTAGGTACAGTCAGTATGGAAGGAAAGGTTACGTCATATTCTATGCCGAAAGCCACAATTGATATCTTTGCTCGGCCTATGCCAGCAACACCTTCCTGCATAAATTTGCTTCCTATGTCCCACCCGCGCCGTCGTGTGTTCATATAAGGGCTTGCCCATGAGCTCATTTTAAATATCTCACGCTCAACGGAACGTCTAATTGAAAGGGTGCTGCAATAGTAAGATCATTTATAAATTTGGGAAAGGTTCGCATGATCTTGCTCGTCTTCATTTCAGCAAAGTTTGTATGCATACAAGATCCCCATTCGAATGCGTCCAGCCATCGTAAAATCTTCCAACCGCAGCAATGAGACGCGACAACGAATGCGTGTATCCCGCCGATGGCTCAATCGTTTTTGACGAATGAAGAAGTTGTTGAGCGAAACGATCCAACTTATCGCACGGTCCAAGATGTGTTGCCTTATGCGTTCGCTGTCGTGCCTACCTTTGTATGTTTTAAGAAGTCCATCATTGCCTCTGATCGATCACATCATGCCCATTCCGATTTTTTCCCGCACTCGTTAACATCCGTAAGTATGTAAAATTTGGCATTCATCAACCTCCTTTTAATGTCCGCTAGCGCATGCGATGTCAAAGTCTAGCCAAATTGTGCATTTTATATTCATGGATCGAGCTTTTTTTGAATAGCTCGATTGTAGCTCGGTAGGATGCGTATCGAACAATGTTATCACCATATTTGACAAACGAAAGAAGTCTGCCATACTTAGATGTCTCGGGTAAATGAGGGTTTATGTGCTTTGCAAATTTATAGCTGAAGGTAGCGAAGAACTCTAGAAGCAGCTCAATAATCGTATCGGTCTACACCAGCAGATATCAGGCATCACTTGACCGACTAAATCCTCGTTACAGGTACAGCATCTTGTACTCCATCCGAAAACCAGTTACCATGTGGATGAGTCATGTCGTGTTCAGGGCTCTTTCCACTCGATAAGGTGGAGATCTTCCTTTTATTTGCTACAGTCCGTTCATCTCAGATATAATTGATGCAATTATCTGTAAGTACAATAATAATTTACAAAATTTTGCTGGCCACGTGGGTACCAAGTGACCAAAAGCGATTGTCGAAATGGGTTTTTGCGAAGGACAAAGAAGCCGAAGCTTAGAGCAAAGGGCGCATGTATAAGCTCAGTAGCTAAGCTCTGGGTTGTGACCGGCAGGTGACCGGATGCATACCTAAGGAATGCAGTTCAATTCGGTTCGCTGGAAATGAACTGATCAAGTCGCCGAACAACGTTTTAGGGTCGCCCTACCAGTCCGTTCTATATAGTGTGTGATAGTTGGGTAGACAAGAGGTCCTACTAGCCGAAAGACCTCTTGGTGTACCGAGCGGTGTGACTCGCAAAAGTTGTAACAGACGCACTTTGTATCACATCGCCTTCAAATATTCCTTCACGTTTTGTATGCATAAATCGTGGAATGAGCGCAGAATTTCCAACACTTCTTTTTGTCCGTCTGTCGTTTCATTTCTTCTCTTTGTTTCTTGTCTCTTTGCATGTCTAGTTACCGAATGCTCGTTCTATTGGTAAGTCACGAACTCCCATCCACGTGATTGCGTTAAGCGAGCAGGGACCAACGGTGCAAACGAGCAAACGCCGACCCTTCGAAGCAGCACCGTCACTACCACCAGCATATCAGCAAGCATCTAAGTCACCCACAGTAGTCAAAATGGGAAGGAAATTGCTGCTTGTATGAACGCCAGATTCAGTAGAGACACTAAGATGTAAATGATGTCGTCTACAAAAGGCGCTTTGCATTAAGCTGTTGCACCGGACATACCCTTCTTCGATCTCGTCAGATGTAAACGTTCGTCGAACACATACCGTAGCTGTTTGATTGACTTCAGGTGATCGGTAGAGCATGCACAATCATTCATCGTCGATTCTGCTTCCCATTGTGCCTTTGCAGCTATGAGAGCTAGGAGCACAGCGTAACAGGTCCTCAGAGGCAAGCACAGTCTTTCTGTGGACAACGTAGGTGTGCTGTGATTGATAGAGTCACACAAGGACGACTGTTGACACAGTAAACGTGCTTGAGCACAAGGTAGACCTCAAGAAGGACTTGCTAGACTTGCTACTCACCGTAGACAACGTCGAAGTAGCACCGCCAAGGCAGCCTTGGCATGCGCATCGCTCTCTGTGTCTTGGCAGTGCAAAGGTGGAAAGCGAATCAGTAATGGGCGCCATCCTCGCATAACGGCAGAGTGTTCCTTAACTTTCTCATCCTTCGGTACCCCAAGTCCATTATCGTCAGTCGCTTTTTTGTGCCACCACAGACATCGAATAGCAAACGCCACAACTTTGCTCCTCTATCTCATAGATCGATTGGTTCGCCCAAGCGCAGCATCTCTCTAGCAGAGACTGTGCTACCGGCAAGTGCACTCAACTTGCACTTACAATGTAATTAGTTGCATCGATGGGACAGGCGGAAGCGTGCACAGTATGAAGCACTTGCGATTCATCAACACTCTTTAAACACCAGTCTTGCAGGAGGCGGCACAGAAGTCGTATGATTTGCAAGCTTCGCTATGCATATATCTATCGGCGCTTGAGTCCACGACAATGAAAACTGCAGCATGTAGATGACAACAAAGAAAATCGAAGTACACCTGGCAGGCTTGCACAGACAGAGTGGATGTTCGGTCTTTGTTTGCACTCATCCGATGCACAAGTCGACCAGTTGCATCAGGGCATCATTCGGCATCAACACTACACTGTCTATAACGCGCCATGACCTGCTTGTTGCGACGAACATTATCGATCTCAGAACACATTAGCGAAAAGTGAGACTGCATTGCTCATACGACCAGTAGCTGCGGTACGCTTTCAAGACAGCGCTTCAGGAGGTCACAAGAACGAAAAGGCGAAGATAAGCAGCACGGGAGTCTGTCTGCGTGCACAACGGGCATCACATGTACTTTCGCTGTATCCTTTTCGCAAATGGGACATCGAGTCTGATAACATGGACGCGCTAAGAACGTGTGTCCCCGCTGTCTTTGTGTGACAGGAGCATGGCGGTAAGGTACAACGTCCTTCCTCACTTGACAAGGTCTGTGACATCTAAAAGTGATGTACGGCTCGAGATTAGTGCGAATTGTTCTCTGAGTGTTGCTGACCCCTATACGTTTACGGATCGCTGAGCGAGTCGATAAATGCAATTGAAGGCGTGCTGATCGTTCTGACAAGTACGTTGAGGAGCAGGTATACCTGCTATAAACTTCATATCTGGTGAGAGCATGTGTGGCTTCTTCGTACCATTGGGGGCATGCGCAACGGCAATCATGCCCACCTGCTAGCAGTGCTTAGACGTGCCAAAGCTGGGCAATCGCGTGTTCGCAGATCGACATTTAACTAGACTATCGACGGAATGCAACCAGCCTCGAATGTTCCACAGCGCGTTAGACATTTTTGTCTGATCATTGCATTGTGCGTAATGTGAAGTAACTCCTCTTCTCATTTGACACTTGTGTCTTCGGGGGCACGCTCTTGCACATTGATAAGGCATTTCGACTTTAGTGATGCGTGCGGCTTGGCGGACCCAACAATGCCATCGCGCAGAGTACTTCCGTTGAACCCTCCCACGTTATACAGGAAGAACGCAGCATCGCGTGATATTTTTCTACCTTTCGTGCACCGAATTGACCGAATGTTGACTGGATTCATTCGAATATCACACGTGCCTCTTATGCGCTCTAGGTGCCGTACATGCTGGCTATGCTAGATCGCTGACGTACCGCTAATGAATCACGAAGGCAAGGAATGTTTATGCTGCTTGTTGAGCTGACAGCCAAAGTCCAGTCTGCGTACAAGTTGCTAAATCACGTATCGTGAAGCTGCAAGACGTGGCTGTACTTCTTCGTGTGGCTTGCAAGCCGACGTTCAGCGGCGCAGTAGCACATGTGAGGTATTGTGACTTGCTGTTTGCTTTTCACGACAACGATGCACATTGCTGTGCGGAGATCGTTTTTTTCTTTCTTTATTCGTTCGAGCTTCTTATGTACTAACTGACATCACCTTCGTTGGCGTGATGTAGGGGAGAGGTCACCTGTTAATTATTCAGAGCCGGGGTTGTAAGTGGGGTCAGGAAACCTTTTGTAGATGAAGAGACTAGACGTGTCAATGCAGGTGACCAATCGATGCTCTAGCGTCTGGACCATGTAGGAGACGCCCTGGTTTTGGCTGTGAGCCTTACACTGTCAACCGTCTTTATCGTTTGTGTAAAGGAACAGTTTTTTTCCATGATCCAGTGCTAAGGTAGCAGTTACATTGACAAGCTGACTCGACATCGACTCACGAGAAACGCGCATACCAACACCTCACTAATGATTACGTAGCGTGCAAACATCTCTCGACCCCTAGACTATCGCTTACGGGACTATACGAGAGATTAGGAGACCGAACGATTGACGACGCGACCGTTCTCGCCGTCTTGTTCCATCGCTCAGCGACACGGAGATGGCAATCGACATACTCGTGTCTTTCGCGCAGCATATGGCTACCACTTCTGGAAAACCAGAGCCAATCGAGTGATGTCTGCCATTCGTACGCACATGCGTTGGCAAACGCCATCGTGGATCAAACTACATGTTTACTGTGTACACGTAGCCATGATGTCGATCGCCAGGGTATTGTTGGTCGATAACGTTCCTCAATATACCTCACCTTCAACAACAACAATGATGTCGATCGCTATCCGGGGGGATAGTACGTCACTTGTCAATGTGGCGACGGCGGCCATGCGGTATGTTTGTAGCAAACAACGACACGACGCTTTGCAACGTCTTTTGTGATCTGTGAGCGACACCTCGAGTATGTTTGGCCGTAAACTGTACACGTCAAATGCTGTAGATCGTTGCCCGGTCTTGCTATAGCAACTTGTGTGGCGTTGTAATGCCAGCCAGAAACGCATGCATCTGCGGATCGAGACGCACGCAGCACGTCCATGCTCAGCGATCCAGGTTGAGGATGGGGAGCTGTTTTCTCATGTCGATTCGGCGCTGCAGTTACTCTCATTCTCCAACTGGCAAGCATGGTATCTCATGACACGCTTTCCGGCCTTGGCATGTGTGCAGTGGCACTGCTTTATGGGGTGCAGGCGTTGACCAAAGGCCACGATTTGTCGTCGGCCCCGCTCATGGAACAGGAACATGGAGCAATCTGGTACGACACTGCAGGAAAGAAAGCTGCGATCGAAGACATCCTTGGGGAAGGAGGAATGGACAGTGTGCGACTTCGGTGCGTTTTTGTTGTTGTGGACGCGCGGTACATGTTGATGCTACGAACGCGCTAATCTTGTTATTGCACTGTAGTCTGTGGGCCGCGAAAGAGTACGGCTTGGAATACACGTTGGCACTGGCGCAGCGGTACGTCAAAGCGGGTTACAAGATATTCCTCGATCTGCACTTTTCCGACATTTGGGCGCAGCCCTCGGACCAGCACACTCCGTCCGCTTGGGACAATTCGTCGATGGAGACGTTGGCAGCTGCGTGTCGCGACCACGTGAGCTCAACGCTCAATGCTTTTACTAAAGGTGGAGTCGAGCTCGACATTTTGTCGATTGGCAATGAAATCACGGCTGGATTCCTCTATCCGACTGGAAAGATCAAGAACAACGACTTTGGTCCGTTTGCGAAGCTATGGAAAGCCGCGCGCCAAGGTGTGGCGGATGCCGTGACGGCCGGGACAAAACAGCCAAAGGTCATGATCCACTTGGACAACGGCTGGAAGTACGAGACCATGTCGTGGTTTTTCAAGGGCCTCCTTGCCGAGGGTACGCTAGGTATCGACGACTTCGATGTGCTTGGGTTCTCCTTCTACCCGTACTATGACGTGCACGCGACGCTTCCAGCGCTCACCCACTCGCTCACGGAACTCGCAAAGACCTACAAGAAACCAATCTACGTCGCAGAGACTGACTGGCCCACGAATTGCACGACAGTCACGCTAAGTGAAGACTTTGCAATCAGTGCTCGAGGTCAACGAGACTGGATGACGGCCATCATGAACATCCTGGAAGGCTTGCCAAATGGACTAGGCGCTGGCATTTTCTACTGGGAGCCAGGGTTTATCTCCGTGGCGGGACTTGGCAGTGCATGTGGGTCGAACTTGCTCTTCGACGTCAATTGGAATTCATGGCCGGCCACGCACGCCAAAGCGCTCTCGTCAGTCTTCATGTTTGAAGAAGGTGGTTCGAAGAAAGACAAGGGCAAGGATCCTCAGTGTCACCAGCCCGCTAGAGGTCCTCCAGCCGGGTCCCCCAAGGACGCCCAACATGACTTCTCGCAACTTGACGCGAACGGCTGTTCGGAATGAGCTTAAGATGTCACAGTAACTTGCGCATTACAACAGGCTTAGCTAGCTGCTAAGAGTACAGTCTCGGGCTACAAGTTGAGTAGTATCTACGTCGAGTCAATTGGAATAGCAGACAATGAATGACTGCATGCGCTTCGACACCCCTTCGGACAATCTAGGCTTGTCAGCGAATTGTGAGTGGCCGTACCGTGATAAGACGTTAAACTCCCGTGCTGTAGTAAATCGCATTCGACTCGAGTTTCCGAAGCACTAGGATGAAGTTGTACACGCACACACCCCTCACTATCGGCACGCAGTCAAGTAACATTACAGTCCGTTGGTCGAGCTGCGTCGTTGTCGACAGCTACTCATCTTAATGTTGTCACCCAATGCTGATTTTCGGACAAGGGTCACACAATGGATCGGAGCTGTTGTTAGCTTGCGTAGCATCGCACTTTAGTATCAACAGACGGCAGCTGCGTACGGAGTTGAGCTTGGAGTGATGCAACGTGTTCCACTTCTCTCTTGCTTTTTGTCGGTGGTCACATGAATCGCATACCCCAGTTGATCAGACGCATTCTCAAATGGACGGCAAGCAAACGGCACTTTGTCGACAGACTCATCAACTCGTCAAATGAGCACTTTTTGCGGCAGGTGCATCACGCTCATGTCAGTCATCGCAAACGACAGGTGTGCTATCCAGAATCGTCCATCGCTCCACATTCTTTGCATGACGTGAAGCGTATTGACTTGATAAGCTCTTTTCGGGTCGCAAACATCCGTCATGTCAATCGATGATCGGCCACACCGTCAAGAAGCTTTAGTGAAAGCCTCTCGTACCTTTGTATCCTCACGATCGTACCCTTCTGCACAACGTTGTGCTTGACGAGGCCAAACTAACGCACACTTGCGTCGCAAGGTACGCAAAGTAACACGCGCATCACCACTACATACCGATCATAAGCGCCGCCCACATCTCATTGCAGGAGCTCGCGCTTGGATAGTAGTGCAAAAGTTATCGTGCACGTTGCGACTGACATTCTGCTGGAACGTCAAGAAGCAGAGCTGGTCACGAACATGCAAATCTGCTTCGCAACATGAGCGTCGGCGCTAAGTTGGCACAACCTTTCTCTTAACAGCCGTGTGCTTTTGCGGTGGCCTCCGTGTCACTACTGCATACCCTGGTTGTAAATACGCTTTCCGTGTCCTGGGAATCTGGACTAGCTACTGCATATCTACCACCTTGGTCCGACAGGCGTCAAATTGCTACATAATTAGTTCTACTTGTGGACGGGTGACACCGACAACGATTATCTATCCCATCCAATGTTCGCTCATGGCTCGAGGGTGACATCAGAACGCACGTTGTTATCCTTCACCATGTTTTCGAGAAAAACGTCGCGGTCCAATGGATTCAGTTGCACCAACTGTTATGTTTTCCCTACCGTTGTCTCCGCTTTTGGGCAATTGCAGCCTTCATGTGCCGGTATCATTGACGGGTGTTGTGCACACGGTCTGCAATGGGGAACTGTCATCACCAGAGTTGACATGGGAAATGCCCGATATAGACGTTGTCCATCGTTTTGCTTGGGGCTTGTCGCTAAGCACGACTGCAAGCAAATTGTAGTGAGGCGAGATACAGGCTTTTTGTGCTATTGCTAGTGAAAACAAGGTCGACTCGGATGTTTGTGTCAGCATCTTAGCGCCCCGAAGGTCACCTCTCGCCGAGCCAAGTCACGACTTGCTTCGTCCCAAGTACTTGGCAACGCGCCACTGCATTAGCTGGTGAACGGCTTTTCGCTTAGATGCGTCCCCCACAAAATGAAGACATGTGGTGAGCCGAGATCAAACCTCAGTTCAATTCCATTCTACATAATGTGGTCACAAAGACGTCACGAAAAACGAGTGTGTCGCTTCGCACAAAGACACTCGAGCATGTGCAGTTCAGTGTTCGTATCGGCCTCTATTGTATGGCAATCACGGACGTTCTTCTTCACGCGTATGTCCCCTCGTCAACTGAGCTTTTGCCGTGCTGGTTTTGCCAATCAAGAATGCCAAGTCTTTCATGCCTCAGTCAACACACTTCTTCCAGTTTCAACCAGCACCTTCCATCCGGTATGGGGTTGCATGTGTTGGACCCCCTCCTCTCACACGTAAACGGTTTCAGGCAAGGCAAATAAGTACTCGCGCGAGTTTATGGACTGTATGAGAGAAGAGCGCTACTTTGTAATGCCTGACTTGCCGCTGTTTCAACTTAGTGTTTGCGCCAGGGCACTAGCTTCTTTAGGAGTGATTCGTGAACTGATCGCGCGGTCTTCTCACGAACTGCTGCTGATGTACAAGGGGCCTACTTTGTTTACCCACACGCTGATATTGGGGCTAGACAAGATATTCAGAGTAGCTGCGATTAACCGCTGCCTGTACCATTCGCAATTTTCTACTTGTTTGACGTAACTTGATCGTATGCCAAAGACATAACGATGTAGTTCTTGTTTGCGTTTGCATACTTCAACATAGTGGTGATCGACGTCTCCTGAAAATAGAGGATAGCATACGATGCATGACTTGTCGCTGTGATCGACCTTTTACGCTGTCAAAATGCATTGTCACCATCACTGGCAGCAAAAGATGTCCAACAACATACACCATCAAGAGACACACGCATTGGTCATTCTGGACGGATGCATTCTAGTAGTATATTTGACCTAAGCTTTCCTTCCGCGTGGTGCGTTGGATCCGGCAACAGAGAAACTTATGCCCCAATCGTTCCTACTTGATGCCGTCCTTGCTGATTCCAAGAAGCAGGATCGGCCTGAAGATTGTATCTTGCAACTTTCAGGCCGAACCTGCTACTAAGGCATCTGCTGTCGGCGTGCCCTCACCCTGCCACCTTAACGTCCACTCCATCCTCTCGCCGTATAATTGAACCCTTTGGACTGACGTCGCACCAGCGATTGGCATTCTCCGACGACACTGTGGTCCACGAGAACGTTCGTCGTTCGTGAAAAGTTGCTTGCATGCAACAGATGCTGAAGATGTAGACCTCCATACCTGTACAGACGTATGGTAGACGCCGCACGGAACGGCCATGTTCAACTCCTTGAACACGGCTTTCTATACGTAACGTCAAGATTGTTAATAGCGCAGGCCATCGCCACCGAGTCGAATGACGCACTGCTGACGAGCCAAGAGTAGCGCTGTCTCAATCGGGCTATAAGTGTTATTATCCTACGGAACTTCCCAATACAAAACTAACTGATCGCTACGATCTCGGCAGGGCGCACAGCTGACGCACCAACGCGTGGAAATCCTCTCTCTCTTGCTGTCGCTCCCTGTGCATCTGTGAGAACAAATCCATGAGCTGCTCCTGCTGCTTTTCTACCAGAGACTCCATGTCTGACACGTTCTGGTTACAGTCTTCTGACGGGGTCCTCTGGTACAAAATCTCCAGCAGCATAGCTTGATTTTGTTTACGTTCCTCCATCCGCTCTTCACGTAACTCGTGCATTAGCTGTTCAAAGCGGGCATTCTGCGCCTTAAGTAGCGCCTCAACGACCTGTTCATCCACGAGCATCCCCTCAACCTCAGCTGAAGGGTCCAGGCTTTGCATCTGCGAATCCGGCTCCGACACCTCGTCAGCGCCACGAGACGAAAATGAGGTTAGCGATTGCGGTAAAGAACTCTCTGAAGACGTTTCAGACGACATGGACTGTTTGCGGACCTTCTTCTTGTGGCTCCGCTTCCGTTTGTGACCCGGGGCCAACACCGTTCCAAGTTCTTCCTCCTTCTTGATGATGACACCCACTTTCTGGAACGTGTCGCGGTCAATCTCGCACCCCACTCGCTGACTCGACTTGGGACTTACGAGCTTCCGCTGCAGTCGGAATCGTTCGTTGAACGTGAGTTCGAACCAATCCGACTGGTCTAACGCGTCCAAGCCCGCCACGCATTGACAGATAAAGTGATACGACTGGATGATACACCGTTTCTTTGCCGTGATGGAGCCTACGGACGTGTCTCGCGGCCCACCGAGTGCAATAAACTTTTGTCGGATGAGCCAGTTAGGCAACCTGACCTTCTCGTCCGGTTCGTTGCCGATGTCGAGAAAATCGTCTACAGCTTCTTGCCACGCATCGACGAACAAGGCCCAGTCACGTGCTGTCCACGTGCTTTTCAAGGTGTCCAACATATCCTCTTCCAGGTTGGAGCTATCCTTTCGACAGTGTTTCTGCTTGACCAAGTTGATCTTCGATTTCGTCTTCGATGGCGCCGTTGATTTTGTTGTCCCATTCGTCGTTGCGACGGGTTGGCCGCCGCACATGCGGTCCAGGCGTTGGAACAAGTCAAAGTCGATCACCGTCACCCCTTTTTCAGTATTGGTATACGCCCGACGCAGCTCTTGCTGCTCGGCCGTCGAGAGGTCGAACCACGCGGGCGTTTTCTTCTTCGCGCTCCGTTTGTTGGTCTCTACAATCAAACGGTACGACATGCACAGTCGATGGTGTTGACGCGTCACCGACGACAGACTGCGCTTGTCAGAGCCTGCAATGGCGCAAAACCGTGCGTGCAAAGTTGAGCGTTCTCCAGTGGACAGTAACAGGCGGTTCTTCGGGTCGTCCACGACTTCCTCCCACGCCTGCACGAGCTGCAACAACTCGTCACTCCCCCACGCAGAATTCACGCGCGAGCCCGCACTTGAGGTCGGCATCTGCGACACGTCAATGCCGATCGATCAAGGGGTTCGCGACGCTCGGGCGGTGCCAACAGACGACGGGGTGTTGGGGCGTACGCAGCCGAAAACCACTCGGCGTCGACTTCGGGCGTCGAGAATCTCACTGGCTACGGATTAGATTTGTCGAAAATTTGTCAAATACCATACAAAAGCGAGTCTGAAAACGCGCGAGCGAGCAGTCGAATAGGCCACGACCGACTCGATGGCCCAAACGGAACGTCCTACGTATATTTAACCGGGAAATCTGAATGCAACGTCGACATGTAAGACGAGGAAAAGAGACGGCAGCATATCCTATAAGCCCGACGACTGCACCTTACTACTCGTTGGTTTGCTCTTGCTCCTGGCTCAGCAGACGCGAAGGTCGCAGTTCTCGCAAGAGCATTCGAGCCTGGTCGCGTTCTTGCGAACGTTCGTCCTGCAGCTGGTCAAACAACTTTACCATGTGCTGGCGCTGTTTCTCAACCAACGTCTCTGCAAAGCGCGACGGTTGCTTTGGCTTTTGGGCTGATGTGCTGCGCAGCTTGAGAGCTTCGAGAATGATCTCCAAATTCTGCTGGCGCTCTTGTCGCCGTTCCTCCTGGAACTCGTCCAAAAGCGACTTGAACCGTTGCGTCTGAGCGTTCAACAACCCGGTGACCCACTTGGCATCGCTCAGCCCCGTTCGACGACGTTTGACAGGAGAAGTGGCCTTGACAGGATCCACCTCGCGGTTTCTTCGCTGAGTAAGGTTTCGACGAAGACGCTTTGCGGTGCTGAGCGGCCGAGACCGACTTGACTCTTCGGTCTTGCCGCCACTTCGAACAGCCGCCACATCCTCAGCATCTGAAGACTCTTCCTCGTCCGACGAGCGCTCTGCGATCACCTCACGTGTCGGCGAAACGACCGAGTTCTTCCTTTTTGCCACTTTCGTCCTCATCTTGTTCCGTTGTGGCAATTCAGCCAGTGTCACGGGAGGACGAAGTGCGTTAGCAATCGGAGTCAACACTGCTCGCTGGGCTCGATCGATCTCGGCAAGTTGCTGGTACGTCGCTTTTTCGATCAAACAAGTGTGTTCGTGATGGTGGCCGTGCTTCTTCTGCAGCTCCATCCGTTCGTCTGGCGTCATGCCAAACCAATTCGGTCGTGTACTCATCGACGCCAGCGTGCGGAGCACACTGCGCAACGACCGGAAAGCCATCATAATGGCGTACTTCTTCGCCCCAGTGGACTGGTTCGTTCGAGCAGGACTTCCAGCGCCACAGAGCTCGACGTACCGCTGATGGATGAGAGAGTTCAATCGAAGGCCTTCGTTCCGAGACGCAAACGATCCGGCGTACCCGTTGTCAGCGAGCGACGTGACGACCTGGTGCCACGCCGCGATGAGTCGCGTCTCGTCGCTCTTCGACCACTTCGACGTGCTCTTGATCTTGACTTTGCTCTTGGCTTTCGGAGGCGTGTCCTCCATGTCCGACGCTTTCTCCCTACAACCTCTTGTGGTATTGCCACGCTCCGAGTCCACCTCGTCCTCACTCGACGACTCTTCTGAAGGGGCAGACAAATCGTCACCTCGACTGTCTTCCGGCAACTGTTTCTGCTGCTGCTGCTCTGGTCGTGGCGGAGCAGGTGACGACGGCGGCGAAAGCGTCGGCCGCGCGTGGCCATCGGACCGAAACATGGGCAAACCCGCCAGCGCTTCCGCCGCTGCTTTCATCTCGTCCGCCGTGGACCGGTCCTGGAATTTCGGCTTTCGCGGCGGCAATTCCTTCCGGGCCAACGATACCGATACCGGCAACGGCGACGACAGCGGCGGCGGCGGCGGCGGAGGGGACGGAGGGAAGGCGAAGGCATTGGCGGAGGCGAAGGGGGCGGAGGGGGTTCGCAAATTCGCGACAACAGGTCAAACTCTTTGGGTGTGACCGCGGCCAGCGCCCCGAGACGGCCATTCAGCCGTCGGAGGTCGTCTTGTTGCGGCAGCGGCAGTTCGAACCACGTGGGCCGTCCCGAGCGGGCGCTCTCGGCGTTGAACGCCCGCAGGAAGAGGAACGTGCGCACGAGTCGCTGGCGATGGGCTTCGACGTGGCGGAGCGCCACGGGCGCGGCGTCGCGATGCCGCAAGGCACGGAAGCGCTTGAAGAGGCGCTGGAGGTCGGACCGCGGGAGTTCGTCGCGGTCGCGAGGCGCGGAGACCGTTTGTTCCCACGCCTGCAGCAGCGCGCGGAGGTCGTCCGGTCGCCACCAATGGGTCATACTGCGTGAATTGCCTGGAAGCAGTCCGTCTGTCACAGGGGTTTTGGCTCAACGTCGACGTTGGGCGTTTTTTCTCGGACGAGGAAGTGGGGCGCGCGACGGAATCTGTTTGGGTTTCGCGGGTGGGGCCGACTGCTGCCGACGGTGGGGGTGGACTGCCGAAAGTGATACCGATCGCTGGCCGCGTGGACGAAACCGCAGAGTGATATTGACCGACTGGAGCGTCAATCCGATGTTTTTGTCCTGAATTGAGACGGTCTGAGTGGGCGATGGGGAGGAGGGAGTGGGTGGCGGACACAGAGTGGGCGAGAGAACCCCACACTACGAAAGCTGACGATGGCCAGTCGAGTGCAAGTGGTGTTTGAGGATTCCGTCGAGACGGTGGAAAGCGCAACGCGGGTGCGGGTGCAGGATCAGGACTTGCACCTGACGTTGTTGATGGTACGAGTTATGTATCTACGCCGATAGTGCACTAACAGTCGATCGTTTGATGTTTTGTGATGTCAGTGACGACGGACCTGAACTTCACAGTTGTCAAAGGCGGCGAATGTGGCTACGAAGTTCAGACATTCACTCGTGTGTCTGTTGTTGCTGTGTTGCTGTGTTGCTGTGGTGTTGTGTTGTGGGTGTGGCGTCTCTGTGTTTCACAGCAACCAGATGAGCTCGCGCCGCTGTTTTCTGGAGCTGCGTGGGCCGGTACGATACTATGGGACGCTGCGGTGCACTTGGCACGTCGGGTGTTGACGACGTATCGTCGGCAACTGGAAGATCCGAATAACGCCCTGCGGATTCTCGAGCTGGGCGCCGGCATGTGCGTTGATAGTGCAGAAGCTCTTGTTGTATCTCGCAACCGATCGGCTCGTGAGCGTGATAGATTTTGTCATTGCGCTGTCGTCGTGCAGCGGCGTACCGGGTATGGCAGCCCGAGTCGCCGGGGCCAAACACGTGGTGCTCACGGAGCAGAACGAGCTGCTGCGACTGCTGAACGTGAATTTGGCGGCCAACAATGCGGTACTGCGTCTTCCAAGTGCTACAGCTGCTGCAGTTGCAACAAAGTCGGACGAGATGGATAGTGACGAGGGAGCGATCGTGGCGAGACCGCTGAGCTGGGGCGTGCAGCAGACGATGGAGTATGTGGCTCAGTACCGTGACGAGAAGGTGGACGTGGTGCTGTCGTGCGACTGCATCTACGAACCGCTCTATGGTACGTCTTGGCGAGCATTGGCACAAACGATGGAGCTGCTATGTGTAGCAAACCCCAACTGCGTGGTGCTCATGTGCGTCGAGCGTCGCAACGAGGACGGGGTCGACAAGTTCCTCACGTTCGTGGCAAAGGAGACGAAGCTCATGTGCAAGCTGGACGAGCAAACGACTGGTACGGACAACAACCAACTCGAGGTGTACATTCTGGGTCTTTCAGCTAGCACGTGAAACCATAACACAGGACGGTAAACTGGTGCTAGCGAACTTGCTAAGACAACGACACGTTAGCCCTTCGGACCGCCGGATCGCGTTCGCTTTCTACATGGGGCGGTGCCACACTTCCTCACACTTGTAGGCCTTCGGGGTGATCTGAATGACCACGTGCAGTGGAATGTTGAGCGTCGGGCACTCGTGCGGGGACTTGTTGGTAAGGTAAGCGTACAACACTCGCAGGATAGCCTGGTGGGCCACAATCAGCACGGGTTGGTCCATTCGCATCAGCTCCGTGATCACCGGCTCGAGGCGATGAATCACGTCCTGGTACGACTCGCCACGAGGATAGCGGTAATGGAGCTTGTTGTTCTTGCGCGCCAGGTATTCTTCCGGCATCTCCTCGGCCACCTGCTCGTACGTCATGCCATCGCAGATGCCAGCGTCGATCTCATCAAGCTGCTTCCACTTCACAATCGATCGACCTCGGGCTGCAATGCGTTCTACAGTCATGCCAGTACGCAGCATTGTCGACGTCCACACTGCGAGTTCCGTATCAGGCGTCGGGTAGTACGCATCGATAAACCGATCTAGTTGCTCAGCATACTGCACGCCCAGTGGGCTCAGAGGCGCGTCACCGCCAATGCGCTTCTGTACATTGTACATACTCTCGCCATGACGACTCAGCCAGATCGGTCTCGGCTTTAGGTTCAAGTTCGCCATCAGAAACATGATCCGCGACTGCAAGTAGCCGTACACTTGGTTGCAAAAGATCTGTCGACCCACGTCAATGATCTTGATGAACGGTGCACCCTCATGGTCGGCTGCAAGCGGTTCGTACATCGACTGGTAATGGTTGATGCGGCTATTGTAGTCTTCAGCGGCCTCATCCATCGTCTTTCCGGCGTAGTCGGCCGAGTTCAGCTTCATCTCGTTGATGGAAGAAGCTATAAGCTCTGGATCATCGCACACAGACTCGATGAACATCATTTCACACTTGTAACGCTGGTGCACCTCATCCAGCAGCATCTGACGGCGTTCACGCGTTACATTTGTGGCATCGAAAATCACGCAGTCACAGTCATCACTCTCCAGCGCAGCAATCGAGTCATCTAAGCACTTCTTCGACAGGTCAGACCGGATTTGGAACGATTCCTCGTTCGTAGGATCCCAAAACGCGTGATCCACGTCTGATCCAACCAGTCTTCGACGATATTCTCCAGTGTTAAACGTACGAGAGTGGTGCCCCATCCACGTCAAGTGACGCGCCAGGATATGTCCAATGTGGGTCTTGCCCCGACCAGGCAAGCCCACAAGAAAGATGATCAGCTTGCCACCGCTCTGCTGTGGCGCAGCCGTCTGCTTTGCAGTGTGCGGTCCAGTCACCAACACCGAGCGATGACCACCTAATTGAGCACGGGTGTTGTGCTCATGCGTCACTAAATCTCCGCCAAAGTGCTGCGTCGTCGCAGCCAGGAGCACCAAGTTGGTGATTGCATCGTCCATGTAGTTTGTATACTTGGCCGTGGTAGCACCTGCCGCATCTGCAGTGGCCAAGGAACTGCTCGCTAAGGCGTGACTCAGCAATTCTTCGCTCTTGGACCGCGTCAATGTGCCAGCTCGAGGTCGGGTAATGCCGCCACTGCCGAGCAAGCTGCTGTTACTCGTGCGACGATCACTCACCTCGATGCCGTATTCCGAGTCTTCCGTCTCTTGAGGTTTACGAGGAGCTGTTAGCGGCGTCGGTCTCGGTGTCGAGTCCGCTTGTGTCTCTTGGTAGTTCCTAGGAGACCGCTGTGGCCGATGTGCAGGGGACGTCTGCAGTCGGAGCCTCATGATCTCCTCACTGGCAACAGGGTTCATCACTGGCAGTCCGTTTTCGGCGTCCCGGATCATCGTGCAGACCGCCCGCTGCAGTGTCTTCTCCTGCGTCTGCGGGTCCACGTCGGGTCTGATGGTAATAAAGTTGTTGAGGTTGCCATAGCCATCAGGAGCGAACGTCACTTCGGGATCGTATTGCCACGCGCCGTCGACGCAAAACTTGAACAAGTGCGTGCCCACTGGCAGCCACAGCTTCACCCGAAAGAGGTCGGGGGCGTCACTCTGTTTCTTCAGCAATAGCTGCGACCCCCAACTGCAAATAGCAACAGGCACACGGACAAACACAGCACCAGACACACAAACACAGCACCAGACACACAAATGACACGTGAGCCATAGCAGACAGACACGGAAGCAATTCATCGACTACGCGCTGACTTGTTGAAAGACCCCGTGACGCCAACAGAGTCGCAGGGACGGGACCACTCGATCACGGCCGGATACAGATGGTCGGCGGCCTCGTGGACGCTCTGGAGCGGCGTCTTGGGCTGGTGCAGCATCACGGCCTCTGTTGGGTGCGCGGGTGCAGGCGAGAGAGGACTCGAGCGGTCGGCCGCGTCAGAGCTCATGAGGGAAGCGGAACGGCCACTTGCGCTCGACGGGGAAAATCGGATTGTGATGGCGCTCCTCAAAAGACGCGTGTGTGGAGATGTCGGTGTATACGCATTTTGGTATGCGTGCGTGTATACACACACATGCGCGCACGACGGTGAAGTACGCCACGATTGGGGTTTAATTCAGTGTCGGCGGGAGGGACACAAAACGACCTGTCGCGCGGTGCAAAAAAGTATCCGAGCAAAAAAGACGCACACAACTGGACGGTCGACGCAGTGCGTCGTTTGTGCCGCATGCCCTCCCTCTGTTGTCGCTTTTCGCGCATGAAGCAGCCTGCCTGATTGTCGTACTTGAGCTTGCGATTATTGTAGAGGAAGTAAGGTCGTGTTTATTTGTAGAGCGGTTTTCAATGGCGGTCAAGGAGATTGCAAATCGCAGCTACGTATGGTACGACAATATCCACAAACTTGGCGTAAGTAGCGAAACCATATACTGTACTTGGTCTGCAGTCAACCGCAGTCCGTGTAGTCATTAGCTCTGCAAGCGTGATAGAGTAACGTCTTGGTCTGCAATCGCAAAGACCGCGTTTACATGTCGGCACTTTGAATAGAAGGGGTGGCTGACTTCAGCGATATGTATACCCGACCCTTTATGTCATCTCGCGCTTTCGATTCATCCTTCCTGTCACACTCGATTGATACGTTTTGATTCTGCAAACTTTCGTTCACAACCATAAACTCGATGTCTGGCTGTCAAACAAACGCTGACCAACTCATTTTGTCGTTCTTCGCTCATCGACGTGGAAGTGGCAAACTGCACGCGCGCACGATTTCTTCTCATGTTTCGAGCACCATGTTCCGTTAGAGTCGTGAGTATTGTGCACAAATGTGCAAATTCGGGCTTAGTTTACAGTTTTAGCTGTTGAACGAAAAATAAACAGCCGTCCTTTTGCCGAAACGACCCGCAACGTTTTGACTTACCTCAGCCACTCATGTACGCGAATACAGCCATCGTCGCCCTACTAATCATACATAATCTGTAAAATGTTACACAGGCATTTCGATTGCCAGGCGAAGATATACGCCTCCCCTCATCTCTGGTACTTGTTGCTGCTCCTTGCATCGTTGCACCTGTAAACATTTGTTAAAAAGTTTTTGATGTCTTCCAGTACCTCACCGTCGATACACAGTCTCTTCCTGCTGATGTACGCTCTTCAGTGCCGCCGCCGAGCCACGTAACGTCTACGTAGAGTATCCTCAGTGCCTCGGGTAAGCACCATCCAATTCAGTCCATCGCCTGCCGATTTGAACCCCTCTCACATCAATCAAAGTCTACAAACGATGTCCGATATATACTGCTCAAGGGCACCCAATTACCTGGAACCCCGTTACTAAGCAAACGGCCTCTCAGTAGAAATAATCTGTCGAAGCATAACGCTTTCGTAAGACATACTTTTTCACAATGGGGGCTTGGATAGTACGGGCAAAAGAGCCGGATCTGTGTGGCATGCAAAAACCGAGTAATGATACAATCGTTGCGTGGTACGATAGACCCACTCAAACTCTAGCACACAACTAACAGTGGATAGTTAACCGGCAAGGGATGCGTGGCCCTAATCTGAAGAGGACGGTGGCTGATCGTTGCGACAGACGCCGAGTAAATATACTGACCTACAAACAAACATGTTGCATCTACGCAGAGGCAGCACGCTGTACATCATGATCTTTTGCAGACACGTTCTGCACTGTAAGCGCTGGCGTGAAAGAATCGTAAGATATAACTTTTTATTTGCAAAAGTAGCAAGCTACCGACCAATCTAGTGCTGCTACCATCTGTAACGCGTACCGATGGTCGTCGCTTCCACCCTATTCCTCTTCGACTTGGCATGTGCCAAAACTCGTTAAATTTTGCGTGATCACAAATGACTTTGAAAGTTCCTTGAGATGCTTGACGCCGGGCATACGCATCGCGATAATTTCGTTTGTGCGTAGCGTCTCGGCAACGTTGTCACATACTATAATCCATGAGAGTAAGATAGTGTGTTCTGCGTGGGGGTGGAAGTGTAAACATGATACCGGGGTAAATTGCCGTCGTAAGGGACAAAAGGATGTCGGACCATGGCAAGCAGTGCAGTCTGTGCAGAAGCACTATATTTCTGTTGCTAATTATCCTTTTAGTATCTTCATTCTCTGTCTGTTGTAATCGAATTTAAACATGGACGATGATGATCCAGATGATCAATATTGATGCTAATTAATTCTTCTAAATGAAAAAAACCAGGACATTGCAACTATTGCAACTATATTAACGTGCACACAACGGTCCTAGTATCTTCGCATTGAGGCATCCATGTACTTGTTATAAAATAACGCTTTTTTGTTCCATTCGGCGCCAGCACGGAAATATGCAAGGAAAAAAAGAGGTACCATAAAAGGACTAGTACCGAGAGGCTTGAGGCGACGAGGGTAAACAAGGTTTAGTTTTCATTGCTGTAATGGTCATCGCTTCGACATGATTATTACGAATCTTTTTATTTAGCCTACACGTCAAGGCATGCTGCTGGTGCTGTATTAAATGTTGATGAAGTTGTCTATGCAGACTTTGGCTAGCACATAGCTCATGTAATGTGAAATGCTTCTGCCGCCGCTACATATATTTGCTTTCATCGTCCTCAATCTCATCCAAATTAATCAAATGCTAGCTTTCTCACCGCATTTGAATATAGAAGGAGCTACAAGCCAGATAAAATTATCAAATGAAGACACAATAGACAAGTCTCTCTTCATTGTCAGCTTCAAAATTTTACGCACAGGAATGAATAAAATGCGAAGCTACCCATCCTATTTGCCTCCTTAATCATTGCGATAGTTCGATAGACGTACTCGCTAGCTCAAGTATCACTCAATTTTGAAGTACTGTGTTGTGGCAATCATATACTATTACGACACATGAACATGCCGATGGCTACTGCATCGCATTAGCATATTACATGTCATTGATGGTAATCTGGGACAGTGATAAAATAACCTTTATCTGTAATCTTACCAATATCTGCATTGATGAGCACATGTGGGGGAGCATTACCGCTGCAAAAATACTAGGCACTGATCCACTTATTTATTGATACAGGCCTATAGATATCTAAGCACACGACTAATCGCTGCTGGATGCGGTAATTTAGTTCTAAGTAGATGGTAAATCATATTTGACGTTTGTATTTGCTATCGCTAATGCAAGACAATAAAGCGTGATTTACCAAGTAATAGTTCGATATGCGTTGCATTTCTACGTTTTCTTTATACTTTCCGTGTTCGTTTTGTAGAATTCACTTCCTTTTTACTTACAGTGTAGCAGATCTACCAAAGTTAAATTATGGCGGAAAGCCTTGATAATATAAACCAATTAGTGCGTAAAACGAGCAACAACTTAACGATTCAACCTGTCGAAGGGCTTACGACTTAACTATCTAACTAGCGCTTAGAGCAACGACTTAATGGTTCTACTAGATTAACAAGCTTATGGTCATGGCTCAAGTAAAAGACGATTTAGAAAATCAATTGGCACAAGGTGATCAAGAGTATATGACTTAGAAAGGACTCAACCTATTTTTATCAATGCGCCTTAACAAGGCGCGTACCCTCTATCAATCAACATGAAAGCTGATGTTAACTTCACTTTTGTGCTAAGATAAACCTTTTTAACTACTTAATTAAGAAAGGCACTGCTTTCTAATACTGTGAAACCCGAACCGTATTTCTTACGTCGCTGAAACGCCTCCGCAACTTTACTTAACACTACCTGGTGTACATGAGCGGAGCACAACAGGGTGCACGCACCTAAAGCTTTGTTTTACCACCACATGTACTACAGTTGGATAGAATGTACGACATCGTTTATAGGCACGTGCATTTACTATGTTTGGTGTGACTAGATTATTTGTGTCAATCAAGCGTCGGTGCTTGATTACAATTGGCAGCACTTCGTGGTCCGTCCAACAACCACGGACATTCCATCTAACATGATCGTGGTGAAGTGAACGTTAGGATTACTTTCTTCCCATGTTAAACATTATCTCTAAATTTAGTGACATGGAATGGAATGTGACCGAAAGTATAAACTTAGACGTTGGCGGGCCGGCCATAATTGCATGTCTCTATATCGATTAGGATTCAAGGCACAAGCCTCGTTTTTCAAGTTCAAAAAACGACGAAACATGACAATTCGCAGTAGTTCTGGATTTTGCTATCACCATAGATCGAAAGTCAGATATCGGTTGTGTAAATGATGGCTTCGCAGATCATTTTGTTGATACAGATGCAAGCTCAGACTGCTGTGACTGGGTTTGACGTCCGTGCGTCGACACGATGGCTTGAAGGTAAAAAGCTTTATGCAATATATATTCGTAGTAGACTCTTCGTTGAGATGTGTCGTCTAGTTCAACTACTACAAGAGGTTTGTCGTAATACAAAAATATATATTTTGCATTTGCCGAGTCAAACGTAACTGAGCGTGCTAAAACTTGGTCCGTAGTGCTAAAGCTTCAGGACGTGTATGCGTTCGGGTCGTTGATTAATCCTTCATCCTTGGATCTTATATATTATAAAATTGCCGAGGAACGAGTCTGGGGATCGATTAGATACTAAAAAATAGGCAAAGAGGCGTGATGCGCATGTTTACGCGCTTTTCTACACTCCGAATTGCACCACTGACAGCCCGAAGAATGCGTAACCTTGTTTTAAATTCCAGGCAGAGACTCCTGGACATATGTTAAGATGCATCTATTCCCGCTGTAACTAGATAGACTTTACCAAGCGATCGCAGAGGTATAAGAGAAAGGCTTCAGTGTAGAGTAGTATCATGTCAAATTATATTTATATCGTCATTTTAGTCGACAGAACGGTAGAGAGAAAACCAACGGACTTCTCCGACGTGTTTAGTAAAAGAT